AAAAAAAAAAAAAAAAAAAAAAAAAAAAAAAAAAAAAAAAAAAAAAAAAAAAAAAAAAAAAAAAAAAAAAAAGCAGACTGGGAACATGCATTACATTAGATATGGCATGTATTAGTCTGTTTTCATGCTGCTGATAAAGACATTCCCACAATTGGGAAATTTACAAAATAAAGAGCTTTATTGGACTTACAGATCCACATGGCTGGGAGGCCTCACAAACATGGCAGAAGGTAAGGAGGATCAAATCACATCTTACATGGATGGTGGCAGGCAAAGAGAGAGCTTGTGCAGGGAAACTCCCATTCTTAAAACCATCTGATCTCATGAGACTCATTCGTTATCATGAGAACAGCATAGTCCCACCCCATCATTCAATCACCTCCCACCAGGTTCCTTCTATGACACATGGGAATTGTGGGAGTTACAATTCAAGATGAAATTTAAGTAGGGACACAGGTAAACCACATCATTCCACCCCAGCTCCTTCCAAATCTCATGTCCTCACATTTCAAAAATCAGTCATGCCTTCCCAACAGTCCCCCTAAGTCTTAACTCATTTCAGCATTAACTCAAAAGTCCATAGTCCAAAATCTCATTTGAGACAAGGCAAATCCCTTCCACCTATGAGCCTGTAAAATCAAAAGCAAGCTAGTTACTTCCTAGATACAATGGGGGTACAAGTATTGGGTAAATACAGTCATCCCAAATGAGAGAAATTGACCAAAACAAAGGGGTTACAGGTCCTAGGCACGTCCAAAATCCAGCGAGGCAGTCCATTTTTTTTTTAAATTCAGTCTCCATGGAGAATTCCACAAATTGCCAACGCCGACTATATTTCAAGTCGTCATAATAGGATATTGGGAAAAGTTTTCAATTAGCAATAATCGCGCCTTGGATAAACCTCATTGGCTACAATACTGCCACTGTACAAAGCTGGCAGTCAAATTTTAAAGGTCCAAAATGATCTCCTTTGATTCCTGGTCTCACATCCAGGTTTTGCTAATGCAGGAGGTGGGTTCCCACAGTCTTGGGCAGCTCCACCCCTGTGGCTTTGTAAGGTACAGCCTTCCTCCTGGCTGTTTCATGGGCTGGCATTGAGTGTCTGCAGCTTTTCCATGTGCATGGTTCAAGCTGTTGGTGGGTCTGGAGGACAGTGGTCCTCTTCTCACAGCTTCACTAGGCAGTGCCCCAGTAGGGATTCTGTGAGGGTGTTCCTACCTCACGTTTCCCTTCCACACTGCCCTAGCAGAGGTTCTCCATGAGGGCCCCACCCCTGCAGCAAACTTCTGCCTGGGTATCCAGGCATTTACATACATCCTCTGAAATCTAGACAGAGATTTCTGAACCTCAATTTGTAACTTCTGTGCACCCATAGGCTCAACACCAAGTGGAAGCTGCCAAGGCTTGGGGTTCTGCCCTCTGAAGCAACAGGTTCAACTGTACCTTGGCTTCTTTTAGTCATGGATGCAGTGGCTGGGACTCAGGGCACCAAGTCCCTAGACTACACACAGCAGAGGGACCCTGGGCCTGGTCCACAAAAATGTTTTCATGGACCAGGCCCAGCGTTAGAATATAGCATTTAAATATGAGTATTAAGATTGCCACTATCATTGATGATACTATAGGCCACAACCACGACAGTAGAGTTTGTTCGATACCTGCTAGCCATTCTCATGGGTTATACTACTGGTTTGCCTTCAGCAGATGTTACTGTACTTTACCAGAAACATTAGTATAAAAGTAACTTTGTTTATGGCTAAGTGGCATTGGATTGAATGGATAGAGTAACCTCATATTTTATTTATTTATTTTTATTATTAATTTTTGAGACAGAGTGTTACTTTGTTGCCTAGGCTGGGGTGCACTGGTGCAATCTCAGCTCACTGCAATCTTCACCTCCCAGGTTCAATTGATTCTCCTGCCTCAGCCTCCTAAATAGCTGGAATTACAGGTGTGTGCCACCGTGCCTGGCTATTTTTTGTATTTTTAGTAGAGATGGGGTTTCACCATGTAGAGCAGGCTGGTCTCAAACTTCAGACTTCAGGTGATTCACCATCCTCGGTCTCCCAAAGTGCTGGGATTACAGGCGTGAGCCACTGTGCCTGGCCAAGGAGATTACTTTTAAGACAGACTTCACAAGCATTAACAACCTGTTTGCCTGTTTTTATTAAGTCCTCTCCTGAAAAAAATCTCTGAGCACACTGATACATTTTATCCTTTCCTAAGTGAAATGTTTGGTGAAGGATTTTTAAGGACTTGCCACGGGCTGGAGGCTGACAAGTAAAGCTTGCTATCCTCTGTATCCATCCTGAGGGCTGGAAAGCGTACCCTTGAGAGATGGCCCATTCTATCTCTGCAGGGGAGTACTGAGGCTTAATTTCTCTTACGGAGCCTTCCAGGATTAGAGGGGCTTTAAGTGTATTGATGCCCTGAGGTTTCCTTGCTGCTGACTTGGCTGCTTGATGAGCTAACTTGTTTCTTTTGGCTATTTAATTTGTTCTTTTCTGATGTCCCTTACAATGCGTTACTGCTACCTCTCTTGGAAAGAATACTGAGGATAATAAGCTGTCAATTTCCTGGCAGTATTTTATAGGGGATCCATTAGCAGTAAGAAAGTGTCTTTCTTTCCAAATGGCAGCATGAGCATGAAGAACTGAGAAAATATACTTGGAGTCACTGTAAATGTTGGCTAGCTTTCCCTTGCTTAACTCAAGTGCTCTTGTAAGAGCTATCAGTTTAGCTAGTTGAGCGCTTGTGCCTGGAGAGAGGGGTGCACTTTTAATAATATCATTCAGAGTGACTACTGCATATCCTGCCTTATGGACTCCCTGCTTCAGAATGGAACTTCCATCCATGAAGAGGGTCCAGTCTGGATGAATTGGGACTACAGCCTCATTAATGAGGTGGAGGTCCTGAATTAATCTCCATTCCTCATTGGGTTTTTGTACTCCTCATATTGGGGTGTTGCAGGACCCGTTACAGGGTTTGAGGAGGCTCTGCATCTTTAGGTTAATAATGGCTTCTAGCACTTTCCTAGCTACTGGCTTTAGGGGATATTGTTTCTGGTTAGGAAAAGAAATAGAATCCTTATGATGGATCCGAACTGGCCTAGTGGCTATCGGTCAACCTATCCTTCCTTGAATTGCCCACACTTTGGATTAAAATTAGCATCCACCAGCGGGAAGAGTTTGTCTGGGGCCATAAGGATGCTGGCCCCCATGCAAGCTCAATAAAGGAGTTGGATTTTTCAGGCATTACTAAAAAGGCATGTGTAAATAATAGGTTCCCCCAGCTACAACTAAGGGGTTAAGAAAAATATCAGGTTAGAACCTTTCCTGAGATGCCCATCATGGCTGTGCTATGGGAAGAGGGGAGTCTTACATTAGAGAGAAGAAGAGAGAAGCTGGCTCCAGTGTCCAGAAGGAGGTCCACCCTCCTTTCTTCAATTTCCAGAATCACCTGGGGTTCCTATGCAGTAATGGCAGTTCGAGCTGATGGAGCATCTGCAAGACTGTTTCTGAACCCAGTGACCTCCATCTCCAGGGGCAGTCCAATTTCCAACGGTCTCTGCCACAGGCTGAACAGGGTTGAGGTGGCTTCCTCTTATTGCCTGGGTACTCCTTCTTAAAGCACCCTCACTTGCCACACCAGTAGCAACTAGCAGATGTACCTTGGGGATCCTGGACTTTGCAAGCCTGCAAAGCATCTACTAGAGCCTCTGTCCTTCTCTTGTGTTTATTCTTTCTCCTGTGTCTCCTCCTGGTCTCTATTATGAAAGACTGAAATGGCCACCTACAGGAGGTTTACCAAGGTGCTATCTGGTCCTATAGCCTGCTTCTTCAATTTCCTTCTAATATTGGGAGCTGCCTATATAATAAACTTGTCCTTTAGGATGAGCTGTCCCTTGACTGAATCAGGGAATAAAGAGGTGTGTTTTATGAGTGCCTCTGTTAGTCTTTCCACAAAGGCTGTGGGATTCTTATGTGGCTCTTGGTCTATCATGAACAGTTTAGAGTAATTAAGAGGTTTGGCCTGGCTGGGCACAGTGGCTCATGCCTCTAATCCCAGCACTCTGGGAGGTTGAGGCAGAGAGATCACAAGGTCAGGAGTTCGAGAACAGCCTGACCAACATGGTGAAACCCTGTCTCTACTAAAAATATAAAAATTAGCCAGGTGTGGTGGTGTGTGCCTGTAATCTCAACTACTCAGGAGGTTGGGGCAGGAGAATCACTTGAACCCAGGAGGCGGAGGTTGCAGTGAGCCAAGACTGAGCCACTACACTCCAGTCTGGGTGACAGCAAGACTTTGTCTCAAAAAAAAAAAGAGGTTTGGCCCTAGTTTTTCATAGGCCCTCCAATATGCACATTAAAAAGCATTTCCTTTTCCAAATAGAAAAGGGGTTCCATTCTGTGGAGTTATTGGGGTTCCAATCAGCATTGTCAAAAGGTACTATCTCTCTTCCTATTGGGAATGATGGTTCCCCTATTTCTTAACTTTTCCTATTTTCTCTTTCCCTGCCTGGCCTACTATAGGAGACATACTGCTCATCTCTGAACTTATCTGCTGCCTGCAGAGCTGCCATTTTTCAGCTGTGGTCAGGTTTTGGCTTAAGAGCAGCATAATATCTCTCTATGAGAGATAAAATACCTGAGTTAAATTTTGGAAAGCTTCTTTTTTTATTTTTATTTTTTTTTTTTGAGATGGAGTTTTGCTCTTGTTGCCCAGGCTGGAGTACAATGGCATGATCTCAGCTCATTGCAACCTCCACCTCCTGGGTTAAGCGATTCTCCTGCCTCAGCCTTCTGAGTAGCTGGGATTACAGGCATGCACCACCACACCTGGCTAATTCTGTGTTTTTAGTAGAGACAGGGTTTCTTCATGTTCGTCAGGCTGGTCTCAAACTCCCTACCTCAGGTGATCTGCCCATCTCGGCCTCCTAAAGTGCTGGGATTACAGGTTTGTGAGCCACTGTGCCCAGCAGAATTTTGGAAAGCTTCTATATACCTATTGGGGTCATCAGAAAATCAGCCTAAGCCTCCCTTTATTTGCCTAAGGAGGTCTTGCAATAAGAAGGGAACTTGAACCCTAGTGGTATTACCTCCATTGGGCATTTCCTGTAGAGGTCAGAGTGAAGCTGAGGGCATAGAGAGTTTTGGAGGTGGTGGAGCTGGAGGGGCTGATGCTGCAGTTGGAGGGGGCCCCAAAGGAGGGAAAAAGTGGCTCAGACACTCAATAGCTGCCTCAGATGGTTGCCTGGAAGTTGCTTCTCTAGTTCTGGGGAATCATTTCCTTTGGGCCTGATATGATTGCTAAAAAAGTGGGGTCAACTGTGTAACACCTCCAAAGGTCTAGTAAGAAGGGCATTCCCATGTGCAAAAGAAAATGAGCCAATGTTTTCTTCAAAGTCTTGGGGTTAAAGGAGTCCCAGTTCTTCAGTATGCACTCCAGGTTGAAGATGGTCTGTTATCCAACTAAAAAGAGAAGTGAGAAAAAGGTGTTCCTTTGGTCTCCTTCCTTTCCTTTGGAATGGCCCAGGGTGGATGGTAAGACAGTGGGCGTGTTCCCCCAACTGTTTTCCTTCCTTGGTTCCTGAGCCCAGGCATCTGTGAAAGGTGCTGCCCATGGATGCATGTGTGAGCCTCAGCCATGGAACCAGAGGAACTAAGAGATTGGCATTAGTCACGCTCACCCTTGCAGCACTAGTCCTCCACTTGTGATTTTCCTTTGACTTCTTAGACTTGTGTGTTATGTGTGATTCCCTGATAAATGGATCTCGGGAGAGACTTACATAAGTTGTATTTGGGCAACGCCCCTTAATGGAGGGAGTGTGCTGGTTTGAGCTCTATATTTGCAATTATGGCTTGGACTAAAGTATTTATTCTTAGGCCGGGCGCGGTGGCTCAAGCCTGTAATCCCAGCACTTTAGGAGGTCGAG